GAAGCAGACTCCCTGCTGAGCAGGTAGCCCGATGCGGGACTCGATCCCAGGACTCCAGGATCATGACCTGAGCCGAAGGCAGTCGCTTAACCAACTGAGCCACCCAGGCGCCCGATTTCCCATTCCTTCTTGGTCCTTTTATCTAAAGAAGAAAGATTCTAGCTTAGTCCATTAACAAACACAGAGTTAAATGCTATCTCAGGGGCTTCAGTATCTAAAGAAAAACCAGAATTTCTTTTAAAACAATTTGGAGTCAATTGTAATAGTCATGGACAGGTTTACTAGGCTTTTGAGTGCAAGACTGAATCTTGTTTCAATCAACAGGCTTAGGAAAAGCTACTGTAATTGCTCAGTGGAGATTTCTAGCAAGTGTTCTAGCATCTTGCCAGAAGTTAGGGGCCTGATTCTCTAAATCATTTTCAGGATGTTCCCATGGGAATGGTTTCATCCAGTGTTTAACCTTGCCCTTACCAATAAGCATGTGGAGTAATTGATAATCTGAGAAACTGTGTTGGTAAGTTTGAAGTACTTAGCTAACCTATAGGGGCCCTCAGTTACTTTAGGAAACTCTTTAACTATGTCTTGCAATTCAGCCTTAGTATAAGGAACATAAAAAATCTGGGGTTTATTTAGATTCTCAGAACACATAACTTTATTATTATTTTTTAAATTTTATTATGTTATGTTAGTCACCATACAATACATCATTAGTTTTTGATGTGGTGATCCACAATCCATTGTTTTCGTATAACACCCAGTGCTCCATGCAGTACGTTCCCTCCTTAATACCCATCACCAGGCTAACCAATCCCCTCTCCGCCCTCCCCTCTAAAACCCTGTTTGTTTCTCAGAACACATAACTTTAAAGAGGCAGGTTTTAATAGGTTTAGGAAAGAAGGGAGTAAGGACAGGTTTGGAGGAAAAGGTTAAGTTTGGCAGAGAGCCTAGGTTTAGGGCCTGAGCACAAGGTGGCTGCTAAGTGCAGACAAAGAAGACAGGGGAGGGTAAAAAAAAGGTCTCAGAAGCCATTTTGACTTATTTCAATTGTTTGCCTCAGTTAATTTAAGAAATAGTGCTTTGCAAAGAGGCAACCTTAGAATCCTGAGAATGTTTGGAATGTTCAAGACACCAGTTAAAATAGCCATCCCGTTCAGTTCGTTTGTTTATTTGTTTTTGTTTTCTGGAGCCATGGCTTTCTAATTTAATTTTGAGAAAACCAAGTATGGGGAGACTGAAAGTTCCCCATAATGGCCATTGAAGTTCTAAATTACTTTTGGTTAAGTTCGCCCATTTAATTGTAAGTGTGCATGAGGAGGGACCACAGTTTTTAAATATAAAATCAGCTAGAGTCCCAGTGGTGGGGGGAGCCTCAAAGCATTTTGATGACTGGGATCCCATTTCTTGGAGGCTTTTTCCCTAGAGCATGAAGAAAAATTTTGAAGTGGCACAGTTTTAATAGGAATAGCCTGGTTCCTGAATAGAGCCAGGAGAACTCAAACACAGAGTAGAGCTCAAAATCCAGGAGAAAACTTACCCTCAAACTCCAGGGTTGGCAAGACAGCAGTGAGTACAATTAGCTCTGGGGGTACCGGCATCTGTTTGCTCACCAGCCTTGAAATTGTCTTCTCTGGATCCCCCTTCTGATCGCCAAACACTGTTAACTTTAGAAATAAAACTGTCAGTTATTTTACCAGCAAAAATGGGTTTATTCAGGAATAGCAGAAAATTGCAATTTGGAACAGGCAAGCTATTGCAAAACCATACGCAAGTCCTGAGAACAAAGGAGAGGAATGTTCTTTTACAGAGGAAGATGGAAGTTGGGAGGGCTATTATGAACAAAAAGTCACTGGAGAAAACTGAGAGTCTGAAATATAGTGAGTTTTCATTGGCTGAGTTGAGACACTCTCTCATTGGCAGGGCTGTTGCTGGAGCAGGAGGAAACATTTTGTCCTCGTGTCGTGTACTAGCTGAAGTACTGTGGTTTTGCAAGGTAGGTCTCTTCCTGTGGAGTCTGCAACTGATGGTGAGAGGTAGGGCCTAAGAACTTCCCCTGCTGGCCTCCTGACTCTACCTCAGTGAGGCCTCTGTTTCTACTTCTTCGTTGACCTCATTTGGTTCATGCATTGTTTCACTAATTTTGTTTAGTTTTGTGTCTGTGTGTTCATGTAGTTCACTAAAATTCTTTAAGAGGATTATTCTGAACTGTCAGAAAGTTCATATATCTCCATTTCTTTAGGTTCAGTTATTGGAACTTTATTAGTTTCTTTTCATTGTGTCATGTGTATCTGATTGTGATTCCTGATGTGTTGTGTTGGTATGTGCACATTTGACTCAGCAATTTCCTTGTCCTGACTTTACAAGTTTGCTCTGGCAGAGATAGTTCTTCACTAGTCAGCTCAGCTTGGGGTTCTGGAAGGGTCATTTGACAGTGTACTTGAATAAGTGGGGCTTGCTATTGAGCTTTCTATTTGGGTGAGACCACTATCCAAGCTCAGAGGTCAGTGGGGTGACACTGGCTGGGAACAGCTGGATGGCACTACTCTCTTGATTCCATGCCTGAGCATGCTTGTAGAATGGGCTCTATAGTTGCCCCAGTTCTCTGGTCAGGCTTCCTCATGCTGTACTCAATAGTGTGTGGAGCCATGAACCCATTTCCTTACTTACGCAGGACAGCAGGACAGATTCCAAGGCCAGCATGGTTCATTGGTTAGGGGCAAAAATCAGGCAGAACTGCCCACCAAGTTCTCTGGCCAGATAGAGCCATCACTTTGGTTCTGCAGTTGGGAAGAGTTGCTGGTTGTGTTCTTTGCTTGGATACCACTGTAAGCAGTGCAATAGGTTGGGCTATGTGGCTTTCAGGTATTCTAGTTAGGCTTCCTGATCAAGAATTGGGGGCTATATTCGTCAATAGATGGGGATAGAAATTTGCTTCCCTGCCTGGGTAAAGGGCTACAACAGGCTCCAAGGGCTGCATGACTTGTTGGCTGGAGACCTGAATCAGGAGGAACTGCCCAAAAGTTCCTTGGCTAGATGGGATCATTGGCTTGGCTCTGTGGTGGGCAGAACCACTGGCTGAGGTCTCTATTCAGGGACCACTGAGAAGAGGAACAGTCTGCCAGTATCTGAACACTGGTTGCTGTAAGACCTGCCTGTCTTTTCCATCTCAATCCAATTCCACACTCAATCCCTGCAGCTTTCACCTTTGATTCTGGTAAGGAGAGACCAGAGTGGGCCTCCTGGGAATGTCACCTAAAGCTGGAAAAGGCTAGATGTCCACTTTAGGACAACTTAGCCCTCTCAGTGCAGTGCAATGACATCCTGGGAGGGGTGTGGTGAGGTCAGAGTGTAGTCTTTTCTCCTACCCTTCTCAGACACTGTGGTCCAGGGAGATGCTTTAACCTCACTCCCATGTTCTGGGATTTTCCAAATGGAATCTTGTCTATGGATAGTCTTCAAACACGTTAGTGTGGAAGAAAAACGTTGATCAGGTCAACAAAGGCTTAATGAGGAATGATTTGAACAATTGGGAGGTCTGCCTCTGTCAGGAGGGAAGCAGATTTTAAAGCTCAGGAAAGAGGGTACCATAGTTTTCCTTTGTATCATGAGAAATACTAAGGGTATGGAAAGGGAACTAACATTTCTGAAAAAGGTAGTAGATGCCATGGCCTTTCCCAATGGTGTCTGGGTGGTCATGTGAATGGTGGATCTGAGGGTGTTCCATCCCCATTCCCTTGTGTCCAAAGTGGAAAGGCTCACACATCGTCTCCATTCTGACTGCCCTGACCTCACCAGATACATCTTGATGTCTCTTAGCTCATCTTCCCGTCCACTCCTGGAGCACGAAAGGAAGACATTAGCTACTGGACACCTGAGTATTTACCAGGCACCTGGCCCTGTGCTGGGCACCTTGCAGCCCATACCACTACCCTCAAGGCCATCGTGTAGAGGAGACACCATTATCCCCATCTTTTCAAAGAGGTCATTGAAGCACAGGGAGATTAAGTAACTTACCCCAAATATTAAATAATAGCCAATGACTGGTGGACACAGGGTATATTCACATTTCAAAGACATTATGGACTCTCTTCAAAGAACAGAATTTGGCTAAAACCCCATGTGACAGATGAAGAGCAGGCTGTGGGGAGTGGGAGGCATCCATGTCTGCATCCACAGGACACCAAGGTGCTTTGTCCTGGCAGGAGCAGTATAGACTGTATGTCTCACACAGTGAAGCAATGCTCACCAGGTAACAAATTCTTGTTGGCCAGCAATAATTTCAACTCCTTTTGACCATAAACCAAGCCTCAATATACATGTCCAATTCAGTACACAAAGGGCTCTTAACAGTCTTGGGTTTTGGGGGCTTTAGAGGCTGGACTATGGGGGTGAGAGTGACAAAGTAGTTCTGCAGAGTGCCTGGGCAGGGGGAGGGATCAGCGGCAGCATCCTGGAGGGTGGCTGGGAGAACATGGGTGGGGGTTGAGGGTTGGTACCGTGAGCAGCAGCTATTGAGGGGAAAGCACTCCTTGTTAGGTGGAAGGCTGATCTTTGGGCCGCAGGGCAACTGCCTGCAGAGCGGCTTCACTGGGGTGAAGCTGATGTACCTCTCCTATAGGGAAGAGAAGAGAGGGAAGGTCACTGAGAAGCCATTGGAATTAGGACCAGAAGGCTATAGTGTCCTTGGCCTAAGGGAGTTAAGCTCAAGAACTGTCAGGACACACATTGTAGGGCTTTGTTGATACCCTTCTTCACCCTGGGTGCTGGCTTTCAGTCTGGGCTGCTATTTCAAGACTCTGTTCAGGTGATGGAAGTCTGCCCTGCCTCCCCCAGGCACCCCAGGTCTTTGGATTCTGAACACCCTTTGCTTTGCATTGGACTTGATGCTCCCTGCTGGACTGGGAGCCTCGGAAGGAAGGAGGAGGCCTTGAAGCCCCAGTGTTTCCCAGGCTTTCTCAGGGAGTGTGTGATGAAGGGATGAGCCTTCAATTCAGCCCTCAGCCCAGGATGCAGGCCCCTAAAAGCCAGGGAAAGTAGGGGCATGCTCCCATGGGTAACAGACTAAGGAGGCAGCAGAACCCATGGGTCTCTTGGTATGAGATGAGAATGATACTGTTCAAAGATTCTGAATATCCACAAGCCCAGCCACTGACAGTGAGTGTCTGAATGTGACCAAAGCAGCCCTTGCTACAGATACTAGTGATCACAATATCCTCCAGGCACCTGGCCCAGTCTGAGCAAAGGGTCTGAGATGGGGAAACCCAGGCATATGACTCCCAGGAACATGCTATTCATGGGGTCTAGGTCTGAACCCTGCTGTGGTTTGTAGGGAAAACAACATTAGATGATGAATGCTGACCTGACAGCGGGTTCAAGTGCTAACCAGGGCCTGCGGTTCAAGTCCATGACCAGGGTTTATGACCTGGGGCAAGTCACTGGACCTCTCTGTGCCTTAGTTCACCCCTTGGTAAAATGGGCATATTAGTAGGACCTGCATGTAGAGACACAAACAAGATTAAATAGTGGAAATATGGAAACTTCTTAGACTGGCAGCTGGCCCACAGGAGGAACTCTATAACATGGAGCCATCACTGCTATTCAGTTCCATGGAGGGCGCCTGTAACAAGCTGGCTTCTCCCTATGGTCACAGGCAATGACATAATGAGGGACTCTACTACCTGGTACAAGCAGTCAGTGTTGGCCAACAACATGCTCTCCACCAGGCTCTCCACCAGTCCTGGCATAAGAGTGAGCCGCACAGGAGAGTCTCAGTGGATGAGGGCAGCCAGCAGAACCCCCGGGGGGAGGGTGGTGGTGCTCAATAGGGAGGGATGATGGATAGGGGCCAGGAGAACTCTCTGGCTGGCCTCCCTTTACAGCTTCTTTGACTTAAGTTTGGAAGCCCTGGGTCATAAGAAAGTTTCCCGTTATTCTGGAGAGGATAGGCATGAAAATGCAGGCATCATGCCCAGAGTCAGCCCGGGAGGCTCATGAGCACCACCTCTCCATGTCTTGGCATCCTCCCTGGCAGATGCCTAGACACAATCCCTGACCCACAGTCCCTGAGTGCAACTGTCAAGGGCAAAGAGCAAAGGCCTCCTTCCCCATGGGGAGCATCCCTGTGCCCCTGCTTACCTGGTCCCTAGGCTGATACCACATCAATGGCACCTGATTGCAGCTTTGAACAAAGTCACTGGATACAAGGTATCAAAGATATACGAAGGTATCCAGTTTGTCCTGAAAAGCAGATGTGGCCATGAGGAAACTCTAGGCATGGTGGTCACCTCGAGAGGGGTAGAGTCCTCTCTGGCTTGAGATGGTCCCAGAGGGCTCTGTCCCCAGGAACACACTGAGACAGCACTGCAGCCTCTACCTGGGGCAGGGGCCTGGTGGCCTTGTGGTTTGAGGGCAGGAGTGTCACTGCAGATTGCTTTGGAATCTGGAACATGTCTTCCTCTCGATGTGCTGCCTGGGGCCTCCTCATCCCTGCCCTCACACCACCCTCTGCAGGGTTGGGAGCTCCCTCCCTGGGTGGGGCCCAGTGCATCCTGGGGTAAGGACATTTCCTTCAGGCCTCCTCCTCCATGAGGCCCTGGTCCCTCCATGTCACTGGGCCCCAAGGACAATGGAGTTAGCTCAGTCCCTCACTCTGCTGAGCGGACTCGTGCAAGGCTCGCAGGAGCCACGGGCGTTTCTGGATACTTGTAATAGTGAACAAAGCTTGCTCAGAATTTTCCTGTAGAAAATGTTGTTTCTGACCCACAGGAGCCTGCTTATGATTGAGCTTGTGTTTGCTCATGCACCTGCTGGCGGGTGAGACTGAAGCCATTGCTGGAGCCGCTGACAAGCTCTGAGAGAGCCCGGGACCGGCAGGCTGTAGCCAGCCGCCAGCTTCTGCAAACCTGGGCCTGTGCCAAGGGGGAGACCCTAGTGCTGGGCCCCACATGGTGGTGGTGGCAGGAGCCCTCACTTTTTGTTCTCTCCTGGGCCCGGGGATCGGGATGCCCTCTGCTTTTTCTCTAGGGCCAAGGGATCAATGTCGCTTTCCATAAACATCATCTCCCTGAATGCCACGGTTCATATGGTCCATGAACAGGCTGCTCCCTTCTCTTCCTCAGCCCAGCCTGGAGGTCACAGCACCCTCCCCAGTGCTCTTCTTACCTTGATATGTCTCACGTTGTCTTGCTGGTACCTACAACAAGGGACAATCACCATGTTGCATGTCTGTATACACGTCTCTGACTCCTAGGAAGAGAAAGCACAGCTTGCTTTTTTGTCTGACAGCTCCTGGGCACAGACACATGACCTGTGCTGCTCCAGCACCTGTCAGCGGCCACTCAGGACAAGTGCATCGCTGCGAGATTTCGAGGACAAATGAGGAGCACCCTGCTCTGTGACAGTTTCCCCACTGGAAAAACAAGCAAACTCAATGTATTTGCGCCAACCAACTCTATCCTGTCCCTTTGGTCTCCTGGGGCTGCCCGTGGTGGAGAAGCCCAGTCTTGGGGCTGTGCAGTGTACAGGAGGGCTGTCCATGTGGGAGCATTTGCAGGGGACAGGGCTGCACTCACCTGACCCTGGCAGATCCATTCTCAGCAGGTAGCACTGCACCTAGTCCCTGCACAGCCCCGGGCAGTGAGGCCTGCTTCCTACCAGCCCTCAGGCTCATGTGCCCCTGTTCAGGACACTGTGTCCCCACTATAACTCCTTCTTCCGGGACCTGGCTTGGGCCCCACCCTGGGGGATCCACAGCCTGCTCCCCTGACCCTGGCTCTCTGTGTTCATCTAGGCTGGGCCTGCCTCACAGCTCAATACCAGGCAAGACACCCTCCAACATCCCCAACTCCAGCCAAGCCCCTGGCCCTGCCAGGGGACCGGGATGGAGATCAATGATATGCAGCCCAACAAACATCAGAGCCTGGGCAGAGGACCAAATTTTGAAATCTAAGGCTCCTTTTCTAAAAGTTCACCTGAGTCTCTCAAACAGTCCTTTGGAAATTGACCCAAAGTCCCTATATTTTAATAAAGATCAGAGCACTTGCTGAAACAGGCTACCTCAAGTTGCTAATTCGGTGGCAAAGGCCCTGGATCAGCAGAGCTGCATACTTGGGAAGGGTGTTTTGAGTCCCAAGTCCTCCCAAGTCCCCTCCCTGTCCCTCGGTTACCCTCTTCTTTCTGCCAGGTAGTTGGGAGGTGCTGGGGCCAGGAGTACAAACATCCCGTAGGCAACAGGGGCCCTTTTGTGTGAAGTTCAATGTGGGCATCGGGCATGCTGACCGCTTCGGGACCAAAATCATGACTTATCCTTTGTATTATGTGCACTGGTGGTAGCTCCTTGTCAGTCTAGAATGTTAAAGAGACACAAGCACGGGCTAGAGTGGCATGGAGGTTGCAGGCTCCACCATGCATAAAGGAGGGGACCCTACTCAGCAGCAGCTGGACAGAACGTGGGCTTTGGGTGTCAGTGTACCAGCCCACTGCCCATGGGTCTCTGCCCAACCAGCTGCACCACCCTGAGCCCCAGGCTCCTGGGTTATCAAAGGGGAACGGACCTCCCTGGAGGGTGCATTGGGAGACAGCCGGACTAGGCTGCCTGGTCCCCGGCAGAGGCACCCCAGCTAGTAGTGTTCATCAGCAGCCCTTCCATCACACGAAGACAGGAGAACTCGCCCCACTTCCCCTCCTCCTACCCCTTACCTCCCAAGTCCCCACAGCCCTCTCTGGCCCCTCCTGTGTGATGGCAGCGCCCAACCCCACCTTCTGTCCTCATAGCTCCCCCTCCGCAGCAATGGGAGCATCGTGAGCATTGTGGTCGTCTGTGAGGTCATTGTGGTGGTTGTGGTCCTCCATGTGGTCACCGTGGTGGTTGTGGTCCTCCGTGTGGTCGTCGTGGGCATTGTGGTCCTCCGTGTGGTCGTTGTGGTGGTTGTGGTCCTCTGTGTGGTCATTGTGGTCCTCTGGGTGGTCGTCGTGGGCGTTGTGGTCCTCCGTGTTGTCGTCGTGGTCCTCCCTGTGGTCGTCGTGGATGTTGTGGTCATCCGTGTGGTCATCATGGTCCTCTGTGTGGTCATCGTGGTCCTCCATGTGGGCATTGTGGTCGTCCGTGTGGTTGTCGTGGTCGTCCGTGTGGTTGTCGTGGTCCTCTGTGTGGTCGTCGTGGGCGTTGTGGTCGTCTGTGTGGTCGTCGTGGTCCTCTGTGTGGTCGTCATGGGTGTTGTGGTTGTCCATGTGGTCGTCGTGGTCCTCCGTGTGGTCGTTTTGGGTGTTGTGGTCCTCCGTGTGGTTGTCGTGGGTGTTGTGGTCATCCTGTCTGTTGTTGTGGTCCTCCGTGTGGTCGTCGTGGGTGTTGTGGTTGTCCGTGTGGTCATCGTGGTCATCCGTGTGGTCGTCGTGGGCATTGTGGTCCTCCGTGTTGTCGTCGTGGTCGTCGTGGTCCTCCGTGTGGTCGTTGTGGTCATCCGTGTGGTTGTTGCGGTCCTCCGTGTGGTTGTCGTGGTCCTCTGTGTGGTCGTCGTGGGCGTTGTGGTCGTCCGTGTGGTCGTCGTGGGTGTTGTGGTCCTCCGTGTGGTAGTCGTGGTCCTCCGTGTTGTCGTCGTGGTCCTCCGTGTAGTCGTTGTGGTCATCTGTGTGGTTGTCGTGGTCCTCCATGTGGTTGTTGTGGTTCTCCGTGTGGTCGTTGTGGGCGTTGTGGTCATCCGTGTGGTCATGGTGGTCCTCCGTGTGGTCCTCGTGGGCATTGTGGTCCTCCGTGTTGTCATCATGGTCGTCGTGGTCCTCCGTGTGGTCGTTGTGGTCATCCGTGTGGTTGTCGTGGTCCTCCGTGTGGTTGTCGTGGTCCTCCGTGTGGCTGTCGTGGTCCTCCGTGTGGTCGTCGTGGGTGTTGTGGTTGTCCGTGTGGTTGTCGTGGTCGTCCGTGTGGTTGTCGTGGTCCTCCGTGTGGTTGTTGTGGTCCTCCGTGTGGTTGTCGTGGTCCGCCGTGTGGTCGTCGCAGGTGTTGTGGTTGTCCGTGTGGTCATCGTGGTCCTCCGTGTGGTCATCGTGGGCATTGTGATCCTCCGTGTGGTCGTCGTGGTGGCTGTGGTCCTCCGTGTGGTCGTCGTGGGTGTTGTGGTCCTCCGTGTGGTCGTCGTGGTGGTTGTGGTCCTCCGTGTGGTCGTCATGGTCCTCTGTGTGGTTGTCGTGGGCGTTGTGGTCATCCGTGTGGTCGTCGTGGTCCTCCGTGCAGTCATCGTGGGCGTTGTGGTCCTCCGTGCGGTCATCGTGGGCATTGTGGTCCTCCGTGTGGTCGTCGTGGTGGTTGTGGTCCTCCGTGTTGTCGTCATGGTCCTCTGTGTGGTTGTCGTGGGTGTTGTGGTCATCCTGTCGGTTGTCGTGGTCCTCCGT